AATCAGCAAGATAGCGCCTACTTAAGCAGCGCTTGTGTGAGCCACTAGCAAACAAAGCCGACGTTTTAAAACCAAATGATATGGTTGATAAAAACGATAGCATATCCAACGTAATAGCCCGTGCTAAAGAGTAAAGTGGAGAATGATTTATCAATACATGTACGCACATTCAGTCGACATACGCTTTTCAACAGGATATACAAACCAAGAGCACAGGAAATACTGTACAAAGAGGAAACTGAGATGCTAAATTATTGCAACTCAATAAATAAATAAAGAGGAAACCACAGGCTTGATAAACCCAAAGTAGAGTCAAACGTTCCTCTTCTTCCCAGAAGAATAAAGTGGCAGTGTAACTCGCGAAACTTACTCGGAGTGGGGTTGTAAATGGGCAATCCACTGGTTTCATCGTCATCCTGTTCCACAGATGATGCCGGCAAAGGATCACCGCCGCCATCCAGCAGCCCACCCGGACCGTTCGACGGAGCTGTGGGAAGAAGGCACGTCCCAGTTGCCGCTAGCGCGGTGTCAAACAAATTTGCGGCAGTCCATGCCGCCGCCGTGGTGCCAGGGATCACAAGAGCATCACTCCCATGCTCATACTTGCATCGATCGCCGTAGATACAGAAACCTCGTTCATCAAAATTACGACAACGGCGGCGCTGAGGTCGATTAGCCTCAAGGTCATCTGATTTCCCACCACGAGGTCTCTCCGTCCGAACACCGCGCTCGCGAGTACGCTCAGAACGTTGCGAAGAACGAGCTCTATGCGCTTCTAAGTCCTCCTGATCGGAGTGATCTGATCTGGAACGGTGACGACAAGTGTTGCGGTCGTTGAAATCCTCAGGGTCGTACTCGTGTGCTTCGTGATGATGCCGCCGAGAATCAGAGGGATTCTGATTGTGTAGACGTCTGCTGCTGTTGTTATTGCTAATACTGCCGGCGCGTAGGTTATTTGAATCAAAGAGATTATCTGTGGGTGAATGGGACCTATGATGTTTGGGAGGAATCTCGGGAGAATTTGAGTGGGGTGACCTTGGACGAGGACTGTACCGACCCTGTATTCTACGATGGCAGCGGTCATCGTGGGCCTTCTCGGACGAGGCTTGGTCGCCAGGGTTAGAGGCCGTGAGAGCGGCTGAGAACATCTCTTCGACGAAATCGGCCGTTTTGTCACCCAGAAGCTCCTCCAATTGTTCTATACAGAAGACCTTAAGCTCGCTCTCAGGTTTGTCCTTTGTGACTAGGACAACAATGTACTTATACAAGGGAGTTAGGTCTGTTATCGATCTAAACGAGAAGAAAAGCAAAGGATAGGAGTTGCCTAGCTATTTCTAAAGATATGTTTATTGCACGGCCATCACCAACTTGCAAAGCCATACCTCTAGTAAGCAAGATCTGAAAAACTACAATTACTTTAGCTGGCCATCTGTATAAAAAACAAAAGCAAGATAAGCACGATGGGTGTCATCACCGAGATGTGGAGCGAGCTCAATGCACGATAGAAGAGACCAGACTGACCAAGTTGCTAGGCAAAAAATGCACAATCTAAGATCTCCTATTCGGGCACTGCAAAGAGCAACTTAATTCTGATCAATCAAAATGTCCAGACGTCTCGTTGTCAGGGGACCTACATCGCACCCAGAAAGAAACAGGCACCCCCTAGTTATGCATAATCAACACGACCCAAATGATTCAATACACCTTAGAAATGCAGCGTAACATACAATGCTTCGATTTTTGTTCGCAGCCAATTCTTCAAAGCTCCTTTATCGACACGCATTATAGCAAACGCAACTCATCCGCAACTGCACTCAAATCTGGCGCTCAAAGGTATTTTAAAACGACTTATATTAGCCGAAATGCTATAATTTGAAAATCTGACTATCAGATTCTAACTAGATTACAGCGAAAGTTTGTTAATAATTTGGTAAAATGTGATTGCTCCGAGACTAATTAAGCCTTAATATTAGTTTGTCTCTTGCGATCATTAAAGCGCTTCTAATTGAGGTATATGGGGCTGGAAAGTTAGCCAGCCTCGGCCCATCCCCATGGTCACAACACGCCATAGTAGTGTTAAAGGAGACTTATTTTTGTCGTGCGAGGAATCCAAGAGACTGAAAAAATTGTCACAGTGTCATGCGAGACACAAGGATTTTTATTTATATCAACACACAGAAGCTGAACTAGTGTTGGCCTTTTGCTTATAACCACCTCCGGAAAGACCCGAGACTTGTTAGGTATATTTGTATAGCCTTGTAAATAAAATAGGCCCCCGTTGTGGACAGTGAAATGAAGCCATGTGTCGCCAAATTTGATATGATCCATTTCCAGTAGATGGTGCAAAAAGTGGTTTAGACCACCAATTGTAGGCTAAGGAAGCTGCCAAATTGCTAATGGTGGCTGAAAATCACTTTCCATTTGACTGTTACCCCCATTGCTACTGAAGTACAGAAGTCGCAATATTATAGCCTTCTCTGAATTTAATGACAGCCTCTAGTACTGTGGAAGAACACATTACTGACGCACGGGATTGTCGAGAGACTACCACCCTGGCCCGAGGACCATGCCATCGGGCGGAAGTGCAATCCACGAAGGTTAGAATGCCGGCTCAGTTGGGTATAGAGTTAAGCGAAGTCTCAAATTGCTGCATTATCTCTTGTGAGAGGTACAAAACCACTTTGCTTGTGGTAAATGAGTGAGTTAGCATCGGTTCAAGAAGCATTTTATCTTATAGGCGCGTACCTCGCTACATCCTTTACCTCGTGACCCGACATTCTTCAATGTTTTTCACCGCTAGTCCTAAAAGTGGGAAAATAGATGTACTTGTGGCCTGACAAAGCAACCCAGACATCGACTAGGGGAAATATGGAATCACATTGATACGGTCTGCACACCCGTAAGTTCGCCTAATGACAGTGAAGGTCTATGCGGGACTAACAAAATTAATTTTGTCATCCAGCAAACCTCTCAACGCAGGCAGGTAGACGATGAATTGAGTAACTTCCACCGCATTTCAGGATCTTTTTCCACGCAAGAAGACTACTCGATCAACTCTACGACAGCAGACTTGCCGGCCTGTGAGGTGTTTCACTTTTAAGGGAAATAGGCGAGAACCGATTTGACGTGAATGAAGGGACGGGGGATGTAATGACCTGGGGTGCTCCGGTGTAGTTTGGCGCTACCGTTTGCCTTGACCACGCAAGAAACAACGTTCGATCGGTGCTTGGAATTGCGCCTATTCATTACAAGTCCGCTAGAAAAGCCAACCATTGTAGGCCAGATCCTTCACTCTTCTGATGAAGTTAAATCTTACATCACCAGACTGACCTGTTCAATAAACGAAAAAAGTGATAAAACCACCTTTTAGTCAAGAGTATCCTACATTTACTGCCGCAAGTTCACTGATTACTGAGATTGGTCAGTGTAAACTGGTGAAGTACAGGTGAGAGACTTGCACGTCACACATTCGTGACCCTGCAACCCAACGGTAACACGCCTCAGTGGATAGGAAAGCCACCAATCTTAGACCACTCCTAGAGTCATTAAGGAAAACGGGCACTAACAGCTGTGAAGTCCGCGAGATTCGACACAATTTGTAGTAAAAGTGGGATTTGCTTCGGAAGGGTGTGTAAGACCGAACCCGGTGATTATAGTAAACCTCTTCGACCAAATGCTGCCTGCAGGGTGCATTCAAAACTTAAGTCCAGCGAAGAATGGTGCAAGCTAGACTAAATATCGTGAAATTGGAAAGAACTCAGGGCCATGTAACCCGATTCTGCAATCGACATGAAGGCCTTCAAGTAAATAACACGATTGAATTCACAAATTGATGACAGTGATTACAAATACCAAGAACGGGAAATAGGGTATTGCCGTGAAGCTAGGAGAGGTCAAAAAACAACTGAAGGTGCGGTAACAAAAAACTCAAAGCACAGAAGACGAAGAAGGCCTAGGACCCTCCTTGACTGCCAATGTTGCTCTTTCTCACTTCCATAGGGAAGGTTGCGTTGTTCCCGAGCGGGACAGGATTAATTATGTAACTGTTGGCCTCCTCCTGGGCCTGCCTCTGCGCCTCGTATTCGTGCTGCCAGAGGTAAATGTCGAATTTGGAATCCGTGATGCCCACCATGCTCGCTAGGCGTTCACCCGCCCAGTCGGCAACCCTGAGAACCTTTCGTGGCAGGGAGAGCACCTCCTGCAGCAGGCGGAAGGACCACGTGGCGTCACTCACTTCCTATTGAATCAACATTGGCTTGAACATGTCATATGATAAAGGTTGGTTGTTTTAAAACTGCCTGAGAATCTGCCACATCAGTCCAAAGCTAAGATGGTGGCAGATGCGTTCTGGGTTTTGGAAAAAGCGATCTTTGTGACTTCATGACAGTTTAGAAATGAAAGTTAATTCATCTAAGGCATGTATCTACAACTCACCCACACGCTACAATAAACATTGGAAGATTTGGTGATATTAAACAAATCCTATGGCTAGGAGGCTAAAATGTTATCCAGCATACTGCGTCGCGTCTTGACTAAACGCAGAATTTCAGCTATGTTACATCAACAGAGGTTTACTAGAAACACATGGGATTACACTTGAGTCCGTATTTCTACTACAATTAACCACCTTTGGCGAAGACCACAAAGCGTATTTCAACATAATCGATTCGGGCAAAAAGCACAGGAGTTCAGTGCACAAGGCTTTATAGCAGGGTTAATTATTTTAGCATAAGGCGTGTGTTCGCAAAATTACTTGCTGTCCGGTTGAGGATGCGTAAAATATGATAACTTATCTTAAATTCTATGATTAGGAAAAATTGGTCCTGGATTCGAGGATCGGCACCAATTATGCCCAACTAATTTAAGATAAGAGTTTAGGCAAGAAATCAGCTTAAAAGAGCTAACCTATACACAAACTCTTCATTTTATACTTAAAGCGCAAAGCCTATTCTAGGTCCTGCAAATACCTGCAGCGAAATTACAAGGGAACCAAAAAAGGCTGGGATAAGGGATCATAACCAGAGGAACCACTTTCCAAAAAGAGGACTTCTATAGCTTACAGATTTCATGTTGTTGTCGGTTCCGCCATCAACGACACTAGGAAGTTCGACATTTTCGTCGTAACATCCATCACTACAATGTATTACCCGGCCACAAACTGATTTCCCCATGCAGCCTTCTTCAACATTCACTGACGCGGTCTATTGATGAAGACAGTAGACAAAATGGCGAGAACTAAAGTAACAGCAGAAACAAGATCATCATCAGAAAGTGACTACTTAACAAAACCCACACCATTCCAGAATTACACCGTAAAGTGGATGTTGCAGGTATATTTAAACTTAAAGTTTTTTTAATTTTGCCTTTAACTACAAATTATCACTCTCATCAAATGTGTAAGTAATTAAACCTGCCCTATAGGATTTAAAACTGCTTTTAAATAACTTGGATTCATAATCCGCAGTTTTTATTATATTAAACCCGCCTTGCTTGCAACTTGGCATGTTTTTTGATTACCAGGAAACTTTAGCCTTTTAACTTGGATGAGTGAGGAGCTTTAAACTATTGTATGAACTTTGCACTACTAGCAGTGGTTTAGTCAGTTTCATATTTCGTCATTTTTGTGACCAAATCTTTGCATTTATGTATGTAGCCGCAATTGTGCTGAAGTTGCGGTATTTTAGTTGATATACTTTTGTTTGAATATGTTGGTTGTCTAGTCCTGCACTATTCGGTTTTGCTTATGTCCTTGCAAAATCTTCAGACCCATGGTATGTGGTTGTTTTATTTCATGCGTTTTCTGAGACCCTTTTGCGGATGACGGTGAGCCAAATAAAGGAGATACCGCCGTTCATATTCGTATTCAACAAAGAAACGGCCGCAAAACCCTAACTACCGTTCAGGGCATCCCTGATAAGTTTGATAAGAAACGGATCCTCAAGGTATGCAAGAAGGATTTTGCCTGCAACGGCAATGTGGTCCAACATGAACAATATGGTGAAGTTCTTCAGCTTCAAGGCGATCAGCGTGACAACATCGCGGAGTTTCTAAAAAAGTACGGCCTTGTGAAGGCGGATCAAATCAAAGTTCATGGGTTTTAATGTTCTCGTGCTCGCCTGCTGTTGATACCTGTATCTACATGATTTATTGTCATACTTACGTTATTGGAATTAAATTGAATTGTGTTTATGGTACTTGTTCCCATTACCTATGTAGCTATTGGCGCCATGGCCTACTTGTAATGACTTAACTCTTATCACCCAGTGCTTATCTTCCTCAACTCGTTCTTGTTTTTACTCAGGGCGCGTTTTGGTCAAACGGTGTTTAGGTTAGTAATCCTTAGCTAGCGTTCGCTCTCCCCTGCGACGTTTAGGGGGACTCATCACTTCGCTCCATTTCATTTGAGAACCGAGCGTCTGGAGGTTCTTATGCTCCCTCGTTAGTGCGTTGTTAACAGTGTGCGCCTTGTAATAAGTCGCATCGCACGATCCGCTTTTCTCGTTCTGGTCGCACGTCTCGATGGAACCTAATGAGTGTAATCAGATTCATCACCATGCTACGCGAGATGGACCGGTAATAAGTGTGATTCCAAGATATGCCAGATTGGTCATCACGATTTCGAGTCAGCTGTGATGATTTCTGCCTCTCCATGACAGTCTGTCACGTGGGTGGGTGGTCCCGTGCCTCCGAGCCGTAAAAATTGCGCAAACACAGTCGCCTCACTATATTTTTCCTTCGCTTTATTTGTAGATAAGAAAGGAAGAGACAGAACTGAGTTAATCAGAGGTGAAAAATCACATCAAAGTTGGTCTTGAGGGTTTATAAAAATATACACATTTGTCGCCTATGGACTGAGCAGTAGACTGGAAACAAGGGGAAGCAGTAGTTCAGTTGTGAGGATTACCCAAGTGTTATTAATAGCCGAAGATTCGGTTGACTCCAAGTTTATTGGCGCAGGTGGTAGTTGTGACGCTTATCTAGTGTGAGGCGTAAGCGCTGAAGGAGGAAGCGTGGAAAGGATTACATTTAATTCTCAAACAAGTAGCAGGCACAGATTACGAAGTCATAGTGCAAGGAGGGCGAGGCATCAGTGTTGGTACCCATCACGGCTACTACCGTGCCATGTGCTCCGGCGTGAACTTCACGCGTATGTGACACTGTGGCTCCTACCTGAGCCCACACATCGCAGACATGTGATGCGTTTTTCGTCAGGTCATGGTGACCAGTTACACTTGAATCGCGTTTAAAACAGTAACAACGCATGGGGTTTTTCTGTTCCAAGGAGAAATATTACTTTTTTAATTTTGATTCCAGAAGCAATTAAATTGGCTAAAAAGCTAGGCGGATGAATAGTGTCACTAGAACAATAAAGTAACTGGACTGTGGCAAAGGAGTGGATGACTGGATGTTTTTGCTGATCAGGTTACCCCTGATAGTCTCCCAATTCTCCTGGTTTACTATTCGAGGTGATTAACAAGGGATGGAGCTACAAATGCCCTAGATATTTTTGGCAAATACGTGTAGTCGTTTTAGAGGTTGATGACGGCTCTGCGTAATTGCCTTTTGTAATTAATGACATCTTCGAAAAGCTAATGCACCTCATGCATCAAAATCGCTGGTTCACAGTAAGTCAGGCAACATTCAATCCCTCACCCCATCTGTCTAAAGGCGATTTTTTATTGCTTGTCCAGTTTGCCATCTCTCAAGACAAAATTACCACTCAGAAATAATCCACGCCGTGTCAAGCGTCAATCCCAAAATTCACTCACTTGGCTCGGTTGATTAATTGAGCGTAGAGAATAGAAGCAAGGAAATCGGAGAGGAGCATCACTCCTGAAAAGGAGAAGCCACAAAGTTAGGCGCTCAAGAGAAGCTCACATGGCAGCAACATCCAGCATTGTGCCAATCTACTTCTTCCTCTGTCATGCCTCGGCGCTTTAATCCTGTCAAGTCGCCAATCCGATTTACCATTCCCTATGATTACGTTGAAACCGTTGAATGGACACTGGAAATGGCCGCACCCTTCAACAGACGAGTGTTCAAGCGCCTCTCGAAGGTGCACAAACTCAAAGGTAACTTTTTGTCGATCTACATAAAGGCTGGAAGACCAGCATGGAACGGATAAGGCGGTATTGAACGAGACCGGCCTTGACCTAGCCAACGCCCTGTCTGTAGAGGGGCTGAGAAAAAACAGCACAACATCTCTGTTTCTAGCCCACTTTTTCTTGGTCAGATGCTCTCGTTCGTCAGTACCACGAACAAATAAACCATGAAGGGACTAATCAAAGTATTGTAAATGCACGAGAACAGGGCCACCCTGCGACCCTGGCAATCAACCCACATTCACGTAAGCATGCCCCGCGGCCCCAGCTTGTCCAGCGTATTGGAATCTTGCTGCTTTGAATATGCGGATTGGGAGCCCGACTATAGCCAAGCTGGAATTGGGTTAGCCCCCCTCCCCCACCCCCTGGGTGTAAGATCACACTCGCAAAATTGCAGTCAAAATGAAGTGTGGCGTAACCGTCAAGACACCTAGAAATTGGGCAGCAGGAAATCTCTTTGGTTCAAAACCTGGAAGGCATGAAGAGGAGGGAAGTTTCACTAACGGTGGACGATGAAGAAGAGGAACATTGCATCAGTAGAATGAGACTTCCTAAAACTCTAGTCCATGGACTTACTATTAGCCACCAAAGCGAGCCATATTTTCAAGGTTGCAAAGATCATGACTATTCGGAGAAGTGTTGGTGATGTAGCTACTTCGAAACGGAGCAAAAGACGTCAGAAGGTCTGAAGAGCAAAGTAGCCTAGGAACCTTGCATGAAGCAGAGTTACCTTCTATATGGGAAGGGAGAGTGGGAGGAGGGGTAAAAGGAAGGAATCGTACCGATAATGGTTTTGTGACGCCAGAGAGGCGAAACACTGGTATGTGCGACGAAGACGACAATGGGGAGAGCGAGGAGCCAAAGGAGGTAGGCCGCCGCAAAGTGCAACGGTTCGACCACCTCTGACAGATTGGAGAAGGTGCGCCGACGTCGAAGGATGGCGAGAAACCAGAAGACTACCACTAGACGCATCGCCACTAACAAGCGACCTGGCGTCGTGTTCCACACCGAAATGTCCAACACGGGGTCCTGGTCAAACTGCAACCAAGGAAGAAGATGATGGAGTGGAATGTATTGGTTTTAGGGAATGCCGTTTCTTGTTTTTCTTTGACAAGGCTTTTAGAAACCTGAAACCTTGATTTCGAGGCCCTAAAATAGCCCTAAGCATCCCACCTTTCAAATTCTTTACCCCAGTAACATAAAATCCGCTTGCATAATGGAATGATGCATTTAACTATATGGACTATTTCATTCTTCTCGGAACCATTCCACACCAATGCTGGCACAGGGCTCTGCTAAAGCTACCCAGGCTGGACCTGCTCCAAAACACAAAATTCCAAGTCTATAGACAGGAAATCACGTTAAACATCATAAAAAGGGAGGCCATCCGCTATGACGGCTGAAACTTGTGAAGGCCCACAGTAAACGAAAGCCTCTGAAGGACAGTTTCAGACTCGGTTTGAACGATTCAAGACCCTCTGTTAGGGACCGCTTACAATTTTGCCGGAAAAAGGCATCTGTGGTCAGGACTAGCTGCTAGGTAGATGTCTCTACTAAAGGTAGTCGCCAGGCGAAGCACGCTTGTTATTGAACCTCCGGCGGCCCTTAGCACTGTGTCGCAAATGAATGCCCTCCGAAGCAGTCAACTTGACAGAGGACACGTCATTTAGGAATCTCGGCTACAATCCACAAAATGCATCACTCTTCCGTCATAACAGTGTGGAAGAATATCGTTCAAAAGGGCGTGAGCGTGACCTTCCGGTCATGTCACCAAGATGAAGGTACAAACCACTGAGACTGAGGAAACCTCGTGGTAAAAGCAAAATTTGAAGGAGGAAATATTCTTGATAGAATGCAAATTCATCAATAACATCTTCACCTCCGTCTAGATAGTGCTTAAAATTCCCTAGAAGGTTCCCGACGGTCAAAGCAGTGAAATGACTACAGGAAGAGTGATAGATGACGTCCAAAACAAGAAAGGGACTTTGTTGCTAGTACCGAATTGTACTACTCAGTTTTAAATTTTAAATTCAGACACGGAACTCTGCTTAGACCCAAATCACTAGTCCCCCCGATCCTTCAACAATAAAGCTGTTTTCAGCCTTCAGAAATAACACCTTTACTTTGCCATAAATTGACCTCCTTGTGGTGATACAAAGTCCCTTCCACGATCATACGAGGTTATGGTAGGTGCAACCATGGCATGAACAACACGTGAGCTTGGACCCTGTCAAACTCACAACCCGATAACCTTATTTTCCGACCTGTTTGAGTAGGCGAGAGGTAGGAACACAGATACAAGCAGGTGACATCCAATCGGCTGACGGAAAACGCCAGAGATGGGAATGACTTCAGTCTCGCCAATTCATAGCATACAATTGGCCTTGACCTTACAGTAAATACTAGTACGCCTAAGGTGCATCCACACGTGGCATCAGCCAATTAGAAGGGGGTAAGTGAAAGTACACCTTTCTAGAGCGTTCGAGAATAAGCTACGAAAGTGGAAACTTCTAGAAAACGAAGCAATAACGTTTCATGGAGTTGTAGGAGTCCTCGACAAATTACAAACTCAGGATTAGCAAATATCGAGGCAGTTGAGACAGGGTTAGAATGTCACTACTACTTTAATGATATCAGTAGCATTAGTGAGAGCTCGAATCGAGTTCCTTTCAAGTTATGTCCGTTGACGTTGCTGCCTATGGAATTAGTACACCCAATTGTGGACTTGATGCAGCAACTTTTTTGTGATTGACGAATAAAAAGGTCCAATGGAGGCCATGAAAAGTTAATTACGTAACTGAAGATGCTTGCACCTGCAGGAGTCGTTCATGGTTCAATTTTCTAGGAGTTCTTCATATTCATGTCTGATTCCCAAAAACATTTTGAAATGTCACTCTCGCCCAGTCAGTCCCTTTCGATTGACTGAGATCAATTATAGACGCACCTTGGGCTCACCAACACGCACTATTAGACTAAGGTCAATCAGATACCATAAATAGGCGAGACTAAAATCACCTCGTGGTTTCGATAGTATCCAATGGCCGGCCAATTATCACCTACGCTATCCGTCGACAATTGAAGACGGCTGTTTCGAAGTCTCATGGATCGAATACTTCAGTTGGAAGCTTAATAGGGTCCAAGATCAAGCCCAGAAACACTCGTACATAATAGATGTCACGGGAAGGCTTGCGCAGCTCCAGTGACTACCCCGGAAGTTTTTATTAAACAGAGATAAGTAAAATCTGCAGTGCAAAAGAGCTAGAAAAACGTCACCAATGCCCATGTTTACACGAGTTCGTTTGATTTTAAGGCAGTATAGATGAATACACCAATTACCAGAGCATGCAACTCAAAGCACAAAGACCCCACCGGAGATCACCCAATAAAACAAGGAGCGCCAGAACGCACCAATGGAGAGCCCACAAACCAAGCTAAACCACTTCTCCCTTACCACACCCCACATCTATTAGTATTCGGAGTTAGTTGCAGACGCAAAACCACTCAAAGGATTCCGAGGTTTCGCCCAGTAATAGGGACAGAGAGGCCCGTAGGGAGTAATGGAGTGTCTTTCAAAAGAACTCACTGTAGGCGGAAGAAAAATAGACCGAGAAGCTCCACTCAGCTGCCTTAAAAGTCAATAATTGCTGAGGGGTATAAATTATCCTGGAGCCCAGACATCGCTGATCCAGAGCACGAAAAAGCCTCTGGAAAGAGACATCTAATTGCTACTTATACACACTACGAATATGATAATGAAACTCTCTAATTAGAGGAAGAAAATGGGAGAGCGCACTTTGTACGAAGCCGCCAAAACCGTTTGGAAGGAATTTGCTAGCTTTAGAGGTACAGATGGAATGAAATACAGTCCAAAAGAGGACCTCTATATGGCGATGTTAAAGAACAAAAAAGTCCATGAGCAAAATGCACGAAAAGTCTCACTCCAGCCTTTTAAAATTTCTGCCAGACTTAGAGACGGATAACGAGAAAGCAAAATTAAACCCGGAAGACATCAGTAGGGCGGATCACTGGGACCCTACTACACCAAGAAAGTTGAATATAGACAAAATAGACAAAGAGAAGGCGCCTTCTCTAGCCTAAGGATATAAATAGCTTCAAGAAGTTGCTAGGTGTGGATACGGATAGGGATTAAGTGAAGGTCGAAAAAGGGACGTACCCGAGCCCAAATGTAGAGCGCCAATTCGATGGAGATGATAAGGGCGATCATTAAGCCAAGGTAGATGCAGGTGCGCAGACTTCGTTGAGTACACTTACAGAGGCCAATGCACACGGACAAGGGGCGTGAGGCCTCCTCCGCCTCCTCACCAAGAGTGGTGTAGGTGAGAGAGATCACCGAAGGGGTCGTTACCATAGTCGCCATCTTCGCCGCTGCTGCTGCCGACTCGGAGCGACACAGCGCCACTGACCACGTAGCTGCAGTAGGGGGCAGGACAATATCCTTACAGCGGGAGCGTCCTCCACCATTCGGTGCAGTGGAATCGCTTTCGCGGGAACTGGACGCAGACGAGGGGACCACACCAGCAGTAAGTACTCGGCGGTACTGACGTTTCCGGTATTGACGAACCTGCGAGCAGTATGACGCAATAAAGGTCAGACGTTTAAAAGCTAACGACTACCACGGCGTTGCCTGTAAAAGCGTTTGGTGCTTTCAGGTCTCAAAGATGACAACGGCTTACACGCGCGGAGTGTTCATGTCAAATTGACCGTTTCCTGCTGATATAACACCTGTCAGGAAGTACAAACTGCGCCTACTTTTTCTTGAAGTCCTCCGATTACACACTCATTCACACATCTCAGAGTTTTAACCCTGTCCGCCAAACATCTCCCATAAGGAATCATTTGTCAATGCACCTCACCATCTTAGTGTGGCAGTCTGCCTTACTATGTCTCGTTGTTCCAATCCTCACCTCGGAATGCTTCCACGGCCCCAATTGTTCAAAAATGTCCCAACATTCAATTTTCCACAAGGAACTTTTAGAGCGTTCTTAGGTGTTCTACTGGGATAGTAGACATTCTCAGAATAAGATCATAGAGAACATCGATTCTCAAAGTCCCAACGATGACATCAACACTCAAACCAATTCAAGAGGCGTTCAAAAACTAAAGACTACACCAGGCGCATCCAACAGCCACTTTATTGTCTTACACTCAAACAATCTGTTTGATGAAAGTTAGTCATCAGAAAATGACAAAGAACACATTACACATTCGTAGAGCGTCAAGCATATGTGACATTATGAGTGGAGCATATAAGCTGCTAGACTTTACGAGAACACGATTTTTAACAAGTCAGTTCAGTCAGACTGCTGGAGATTGGTGTCACCTGGATTCCAAAGATCACAGGGAGACCCTCCACCCCCCTGAAAACGGCGATGACTTCGCTTCCGTTTGTTAGAGGATGCATCGTTGTGATGAGGCAAAAGCCAGAAAGTGAAGCAAGTCTGTTCGCTCCCATGCTAATGGGGCTGGAAATTTAAAAATCGCCATTGAATACATTTAGTGGGAGTGAGCAGCCACAACTACACCCGCTAACGCATACAAATACCACTGACTCATAGATTAGTTACAAATCTTAGTGTAGCTTCAAAATGTGACTTAATAGCAGTTTTATGACAAAAAAAAAAAACACTAAATAAACATTCTAACGGTAAAATGCGACTAAGCATCGCTTCAAGTTCAACCCCGCAGATGGAAGATCGAAGTCGGCTCTTAGACATCAACGGACCCAAGCGTGGGGGCGGGGGGGAGTGAGAAAGAAATTTGACGGTGAAAAATCAGACTTGTTCAAGCAAGAACTGAGGGATAAATAAATCGGCTCTAGGACATACCAGCCAGCCAACTGGATGGAGAAGAGAACGCACAGGCCTCCATAAACTCAGAGAGGCAAATAAAAAAAAGATTGAGATTCAATGGGAATGGAGACGGACCTTCTGCTCAAAGTGAGAGAGCTCAGCAGGGAGGATGGGAAAGCCGACTTCAGCGGTGGTGAGGATGAGAATGAGAAGGAGAGACTCAGCGGAGAGAGCGACCACATCACCGATGAAAAGGAGGGCGGGTGCTCCGACGCCATCAAATGAGAAGGTTGAAAAGTGGATAGCTCGCAGTGTCGCTGCTCCAAAAGACAGCCAGATGTGCGTGAAGAGGAGACACGCTAACGGCTCGTACTCTCCCTTGTACTTGATCTACAAGTCAGAAGTTTATCGCTATAATTAGACAATCCCTCCTTCCTGCTTGCTTTTGCAGGCAAGGCTGTGACAGTCCCATATTTGTACGAAAGTCAGGGTGGCATATGTATGTGATGCTGGTAGGGAATACATTTACAGGAGAGGATTTTGTATTTGCGCAAATGTACGGATGAAGTAATAGTAGTATCTAAGCTCTCAATCCATTTGGTATTAAAGTGGACAGCATGGGCTGTCCGTGACTGTGGCCAAATCAGAAAATAGTCTAGACGAAAGTAGGCGTCATATATTAATAGTGATCGGACCAGGTGCATCCGGTCTAAGTTATCTTTACGCTATGGACGTCACAGTCATTGTCAAGTCAGCCTGTCGGACACGTAGGCGAATAGACGGGTCACACTAGCACATGCGCCTTCATCCATCTACCTAGCGATTGTTCAACCTTGTGATAGTTCAGGGCAAAATGAACACAGTCCTTTGCGGCCTGCTGAGTTATTCGTTGATGGAATTGCATGTTACGTACGGCCGTGAATCATGGCGTCAACACCTCTAGGAGTAGCAGGAGCACCATTACACCTCCACCCACCTCCAGACGACTGTGGTTGCTTCAAGTCGAGTATGGTGCACTCCAGATCCTATTGTTTATCAGGGCCTGTTCACTAACTCCAAATCAAACGAATACTGATGAGATGCATTGAGTCAATAAGGTAAAACTCGATCATTTCCAAAAAAAATTCTTTAATACTTCCAGCAATAGGCAATTCTAGAGAATAAACTGGAAAAAAGGCCTCTTCCTACACGGCAACGAAAGATCCCACACTTCACATCGCCGCAAAGCTGACTCGTAATAAGGCCTCATGGCGCACTCCCTTGGTGTTACTCCACGTGATGGATGTCAATTTTTCTTTGGCACTAGGCGCTCACTACGTAGCTAGGGGCACGTTTTTTCTGGATTCTGGAGATACACCACAAACCATCACCAAGTTCTCTGCCTGCATCCAGCTTTCTCTCGAACGGCTTGAGCCGAGAAGATCCCCTATGCACCATATGTTGGAGGTATCAAGGAAAAATTGATAACCACAATCTGGAGGTTGCGCTGTTTCAACAGGACACTAACGCTATGAAATCCAACATGACAAATATTTGACATGTTGGATTGAAGTAAGAAAAGCGGGGCGTCACATAAATACCACAGTGGTAGCGGATCAAATTTGAAAAACAGAAGGTGTGCTCTGCTCAAAAGAGCTCGAGATTTGTTTAATACATTACTTTTGCAGTAACAAAAGATGAGAAAAACCTTCCGCCTTTTTTCACCCTACTTTACCGGAGGTAAGAAAATTAGCGAGGATTTACAAAACTATATTCTTCTCACGTAACAAACTGTGACTGTGATTTAAAGATGTACAATGATACATTTTGGAAAATTTTCTCTCCCTGAAGCAAATTAAGTAGAGTGTCACCAGTTTGGCTGTGCATGTGCGCCCAAGTTAAAGCAATCATAGCTGAGAGGGGGCAAGAGATGCCGCATGTCGATAGAAAAGATTTCTTTAAACTATCGAATTTTAAGGCAACAAAAAAGATGTTTGTGCGGTTTAAATGGGACGGGAAGAAAGAATTAGTCTTTTGAAGTCGCCTTCAACCAAAACGACAAGATAGCAGTAAAGGAGGCCATCTCTACACGCGGTTTTGTCTCGGGGGCGTCAAGGCAAGAAATCTGGGCCTAGTCACCTCCGTTTTCCTGTCAGCCTTTACTTCTCAGTGGTAAATTTTGCTCAAATGACGATGCCACGTGGCATTCTAATGTCAAGATTAGGTGGTAGCTTGGATTGGGTGAGGATTAGGAGAGACGGTATCGTTCTCTTCCCCCACTCTCACATACGCCCATCAGGTTAATCAAACAATAGGCGGTAATAGTAGAGTATAGGATAGATGGACAGTGGACTTTTAAAGGCAATATAAACAATAGCTTAACTGCTACAGGTTTCAGCAAGCCAGTGCAGCTGGCCCTAGTGAAAGTCGAGCAAATTATTTTGTCAATTGATAGGGGAAGACTCTGGGGGGAGGGGGTTAAGAAAGTTAAAGCTAGATAATACTACGCTCTTCCCAGTTGCTTTGACACCATCTGACAGACTTTGCTAGCTTTACGAAGGCTAGGAAATAGGGTCAGTGCTTTCATAGCTCCTTCTTTAGGACAGCCAATCGAGAAGTTTTGGTGTCAACGCAAATATAGTCCTCTAAGAGGAGGACAAAGGATGTTGTGTGCTCTGAGCGCTCCTTCTATCTGTTGTGTTTAGGGACCACCTTCACCTCTGGCAAGACCAATTAAGGCATACCCACATCGTTGAAGCCCTCAGAACGCCCTGTCCACTTTTGAGGGGCGTTGCCAAGTCCAACCGCCCGCCTTTCGTAAGAAATATCAAACAAGTGCTTGACTGGGTTGAATGAGCCTATGAGCCTACTACTCACACAATACTGTAAAACTGACTGTCAGGAGATCATCAGAGTATCCACGTGATCCCCGATACATGCAACTGCTACTGCAATAGAAGTGATAAAATGTGGCAACCCTCAAACTAAGAAGTTTTTGTCATATTAATCGAGCTATTTGAGGCTCGATTTGTTAGTAGCAGTAGTCGTATAAGGAGGAAGAATATGCGTCACATAATTGTGACGCCGCGGCTATATAAAAAAATTGTAGTCATATGCATTTGACGCCTATAAAAAATTTTCAAGGGAGTCGATGAAGATGACAATGAATTCAACTCACATGTAGGATGACACCAAGGAAGAGGTAGAGGACACCGAATGTGAGATAGATCTCGAAGATATCGTGGTACTCAAAGGAGAACTGGTGCTCAAATCGGTAGTAGTCACGTAGACGTGGTATCCCATTCACCATCCAGATGTCATAACGCATGCGCATTGGTACGCAGGGTCTCAAGGGATCGCCGCAGTCACTCTTTGAGAGGTCACTGTCGGGTCGAGGTAGCGCCGAAGTCTCCCACTCGCAGGTGGTCAGATTGCGGTAGCAAGCAATCAGACTAAGGTACCAGAATCTTGAAGGCGGAAAGGAAGATGGAAAAATCATTAATAAAGGTGGCGAGGAGTCTCACAAAGATAAAAGCAGCAAAAGGAAAGTTCTACAACGAATTACTCCAAAGTTGAGGTGTTGATTGAATGATGAAAAAGAAGTCCGCTGTAACAGAAATAGTGGACACGGAGATAGTCCTAGTTTCTGTAGGTTGTATGAGAAGGAGCACTCTCGCTGACGCGGATTGGACGTCCTCCAACTAAAAGTCAAGACACCTATCGCCAGGACCTATTCTTGTGACGTCAGTTTGACGCCTAGGTCGTCCCCAGTATTCACACCTCTAAGGCACACAACACAAGCCTACAATAAAACAAACTCGACTGTCCAACCTCAACTATACAAATTATGACAACAAAATGCACCAAACGATTATTTTCGTAGAAGTCTCTCTGAGTGTTCACTGGTATAGCCACCATTACTATCTATGGCCTATAATACTTTGTCAACGAGCTAAAAAGTAGCTGTGAATACCACCTTTGTAGAGTATTCCGTGTCTAGACGGCAAAAATAATTCTGCCCCAGACACTTCCGTCTCTACCTCATCTTTTATTTCCAGACTGTCTATTCCTCTTTGCGTTTGAGGTCAGGAAAGGGTGGCATTCAGTATCAGAAGAATATGCAGGACAAAGTGAGCCATTGCCCCCACCCCTTCCCAGAGTGCGATGTGACAGTTCCTCATGGGCCACCTTTGTGGCGGTTTCGATTCATTCTCCAGTCTTGCCTGTTCCCAAAGACGATGAAGGAGTTCTTCCTGGACATGATCGACTGGACACATCTCACCCCGATGAACAACCGGGCCTGCAGTGCACCACACTCGGCTCGAAGTAAGCGAATTCATCTGTGGAGTTGTGTGGCAAGTGAGTGGGTCGTTTGCTCATAGCCAGTAATATGTCCGTTCGCTCCATGAACTTTAATATACAGGAACCACTTTTCATCACAAATCTGTCCACAAATTATATAACTGGTGCCTTTTTATATGGTAAAGGTACCACGGTCTGATTCATCATTCATGTCAACCATCTCCAAAAGTTTTTCCGAACCTCGAGTTAAGCTTTAAAACCTTTTCTGACCTGTCTATTTTTCTACCGCGCCCTCACTGAATGTCGCATGAAGCTTCCACAGCTTTGAGACCGTGGTAAATTCAGTTCTTCAGACAGACAGGGTAAATTTGCATCCATCAATTTCAGATGAAATTTCTGCTGTGTAGGTGGGAAATGCGGCAGGGAGACCGTCCGGAGCGACTGCGGGTATGCGCACTCACAAACGATCGCTGATCGACAGTCCTTCTGCTTCTCCAGACAAACTAGACAAACCGATTTCGTTACCAGACGTCATTAGCGTGAAGGAACCAAAAAACCGAATATCGGCTACTTTTTTGCCTCACTCAAGTCCGTTAAATAGATGTCATCACATTCTTTTGCCCAATAAACACTTCTAGCGACAAAACACATACAAAGTGTAAAAAAGGAAACGTAAATCACTCTTAAAAGGTGTTAAAGTTTACAGGTTGTGGGTGTGCACATCATGAAGACACCACAGCATCGGCGCCAACGACGGTGTCCATATACCTCGGCGGTAAAAAGAATAATATTTGTGTGATTTGGTTGAATTTATCACAACCCGTTTTCTAGTCCGAATGAAGGCGTTCTACCCTCTTTGATGCTTCTCTAAGGAATCGGAATGCTCAAAAGGCTTGACTACATGATAAACTTGACACTTGGTTTTGATTGGTTATGATTTATTTCGACTCGTGGTTACCGAATTCGTCAATGTTAACTTTCCTTCTTTCACCACGAGACACTCAGAGGAATACCGGCCACTGTAAGACCGCAGCGGTTTCATCCATTCACCATGGCATCAACACCTGTACTACCTGCACTATCATCAGACCAAGCAAATCTGCCACCTCCCAGCACAACTCAGTCCAGAAACAAGGCATGACTCGTTTTGAAGGCGTACGTGAAAGAAGTGAAGCTTATTGCCCGTCGCCTGCAAATACAAGAAGTGTGGATGAAATCCATTTACTCGGAGACTTTCACGGCTCCCTCTCCTCCCACTTAAAGCAGATGTAAACTAGGAGTTTCATTTCTCAAATTCAACAGCACTGAAGGGGGTCATCATCACATGTGTCACCACCGAAAACAAATTTCTTGGTTACTCCACCGCCGTACATTCTTCAAGACCAATGCAACAAATTTCACAAGTTTTGGGACTGCGTTTAAACTGGTATGACCGCTGGATAGGCCGGATCTGCATCCGTCCATGAGGCACTTTGATACGGAGGGCGGGGGAAGGAATATAAAAAAATGAAGAAAGCAGAGAGCCCCGACAAAGACGAGCTGGATGCAAATTTGACTCACCCGTGTCGGTGGCACTCTCTACGTTTCCACAGGCTACAAGTTTCACTGAAAGTGGGCCAAACTTTTTGCTCCACTAATCTCCTCAAACAAAGAATCGCGTCTCGTTAGAATTACACTCCGCAAAATAGCTCATTATCTCCTCCTCGTGGTTAAAAGAGCGCACTTGTGCGGTTTTTAATGCTGTCGGGCCACCTATTACATCAGTCAACAAGGCACCAAAATAAGGTGTAATACTGGCTGCTATGCGTGATGAATTTCCGCACTAGGTGCCTAACACAAAACCCATAAACCATTTTTAACTGATACCTGAATGTGGCGTCTCTTTTTCACATCAACAAGAGAGAAATTGCATAGCATGTTAGGTGGGAGTATTTTCACACTTATATGCAGGCCTTTTAGGGCAGAATCACGCTATATGACAAAACTTGGTGTTGTCGCCTTCTAGCAACAAAGGCCATCATCACACCTAGTCAACTTCCATTATTGGCTCATTGGGAGGCGTGAGATACTTCGTGATTCAAGCACCACCACCTTGGGTGCCCTCGAGTTTGACAATTGGCGGTTACACCATTACAAGATAACTCCTCGAAAGTACCCAAAAGTACATCAAAATGGGGGAAAAGGGGATACGTCTTAAGGTGTTTTCTGCCAAAATTAGAAGAAAGCGATGGCCCGGCTTTTCCGTGAATAATTGAGAGGTATTTTTAGCACTTTATGGTGGGTGACAATATCCAATTAATCCCAAAAAGACTAATTTGGGATGAAACCAAACAGAGAGGGAAATTATATGGTGCGGGTAATAACGCCGCCTTTTTCTCCTTTATGCTCCGTTTGGTAGTGCGGGTGTTGGTGCCGTTGTTGAGACAAGGAAACCTCTGAACTATGGTGGTCGATATCACATATCCCGGAGACTCTCACGATGTACTCAGTGGGGAAAAAGGCGCTTTTCTTTTTTCAAAGCCCTTATTTGAGAGATCTAACCCACTTGTTTGGGAAACCTTCGAGGTTTAACTTCTACTTTTCCTTGGGTCTGTCCTTAAGCTGGTCCAAGCAAATCTCTTCAGTCTCAACTGATTTGGCCTCCACGGTGTTCCTTTTATGCCATTTGTGCAACTAAATTCTCAGCTACTTCATACGTTTAAGGTAAGGTTGTTTTTAAATCCCCCAATAGCCTTTACTAGGAGTTACTAAGCTGATGTAAATACGGAGTAACTTGCGTCCCGACCAGTCTTAATCTTTGGCCTTTCATAGAATGCAACATGAACAACAATGGGCCATGTCACTTCCGTCGTCGGGTTGATTCTGAGATTTGTCGACCATGATAGTCGAGAGTTAAAAGAGAGAATGGCAAAGCACCTAAATTGGGCAATTCAATATGTCCTGAGGAAAAATAATTTAGCATTGGTAAGTGAAGGAGTTGAAGGGAAGGGCTGTGAACTACTCCTAGAAGCAGAAAGAGGCCGAAAGAAGGCGAACCTTCAAGGCCAGCTTTCCAAGACGAGCAAGTCCCAGGGATATACAAGGACAGTGATAAATTGAAAGGAGTAAAGGTGTTGTGTAGGAGGGAGACGATAGGTCTGCTTCTACTGACTATGAAACTGGACACTCGAAAAGGTCTCTCATATCAGAAGAAGGCAGAGACTACCAACCACAAAAGTCAGCAAATACCAAACTAGGTGAGGCTTTCAGAGATGGACCTAAAGCAGAAGGAGCTATCTACTGTTCTATGGAGCATAAAATTGCCATCCCTAAGTTATAGACAAATTATTTGCTATGAAGATAGACAGACGGACAGAGAGGGGGAAATTGAGTGAGGATCTACCGAGGTTGCCGACGATCCTGGACCGTAAAAGTGAATTGCGCTTCGGGTTGAACACGAGACCGATCATCCTCCTCGGAGCAGACATCTCCAGTGGTACAGGGCACCTGCCGCAAGAAGTCCATTTTGGCTTTAGGACCGCATTTGCGGTGCCAGGCAAGAGTGTTGATGCGCGAGAACATGGTCCGACACCGTGCTGTCTCGGCAAGCCAGAGACTGAGGTGCGACTTATTCGAGACGTCGCCGAAGAATTGCACAGGTCGGCTAGCGTTGCCGTATAGATCAGTTACGTACTCACCATCCACTACCACCAGAGTTGCTGGTGGCAGCCTTGTGGAGGAATCTGTAGGGCGTTTCAAATGCCAAATTACACTGTAAACTAAGATAGTCCTCTTTGATACTTTGCTACTGTTCAGTGTTACATTTGATGATTGTACCATTAGACAAATATCTCTACAAAAATTGTTCAATTCAAACCATTACCTAGCTTTCAGCAAAACTTGACAAATGAACACCTACAATGTAGTTTGTACCTAGAACTATCACCAGATTTGGAAGGTCCACACGTTGATGACCTATGCTTCTATTTTGTGGGTGGCCTTAACAAACCTGACTACTTTTTGACGGGTTTTATAGAAGAGATAAGGTATGCAACCAGGAAATACGTCTCCCACCTCCCACGAGTCCCACAGTACTTCTGCACAGCAATAATGACCCCATCTAGAGGCTGACACGCCTTATATTCCCTTTAGAGCTAGTCCGGAGGTAACCAAATAGCGCTCACTAGGGGATGTCAAACCGTGATGAAAAAATAAGTTATTTGAAGGACTCGAACTTGGAGGAGGACTGAGCTGAGTGGGTAGGACAAACGGTTAGTTTGCACCGGGCTGTGACGAAGGGGATTTTACCAGGTTCCAAAAGGAAAGAAAATCTAGCTCCTCTCGATTCTTAAAATTCCACAAGTTGTAAACCTTTCCCCACTCAGGAAAAAGTCGAACCATAAAAATGAAAGGTTTGATGTGCTTAGTAGTCTGACAGTAAGATGAATCTCCTATTGTTTTCATTACCACGGACTGTCACGTTTTGCATTTCTAGTGCTCAGAGGTTCATGAGCGATATCAAACACGTTTATCTGCTGAGTCCAGATCAATGTGTCACAAAGAATGAATCTTCTACTACAACCAAATGGATGAAATGATCAACCAAATTATGAGGCTAAGTAAGGAATACGGATTACCCCTCACTACTTCAAATGCATGGCGCTCACTCAAAGAGTATGCTTAAATTATCCGCCTGTTTTTGTGGTTCAGGCAGCTGTTAACTAGCGCGTTCTATTCAAAATCTAGCACAGAGAAGGAAAAACATACTGGGATTTTTTCAAAAGTTGTGAGGTTACTAAAGTGACTAAAAGCTAAAAGGGCTCGATAAAATCTAATGGAAGAGCTCATACCATATCTCTCACATTTCACAGTGAAGTTTTCACAGTTTTTCTACCTTCCGTTAGCAAAACAGTGAGTGCAGATTACGGCTATGCACAATGAAAGGGGTTAGGAAATGAATAACAAAATAAAAAGTCGACTAATAAAATGAAGCAAGATTTAAACATACTGAATGCGGGGTCCAAGCTGGTAACATTGCCAAAGATGTAGCCTCGAGTGGCTTCTACTTCATCGACGGCGGTCTTTTGAAAAGCAAAACGGGCCACGAATGTGTAGACCTTGTCTGTACTCCATTCACCGAAGACGTGTAAGGCTGAGACATTGGTGGCAGTTACAATGAGATAAATGGCAATAAATTTCACCTTAAGAATGGCAAAAATGTAAGAATGTGAGAACATGGTTCAACAGAACAACGAAGTAAAGATGTCAAGTAACAAAGAGCTAAATGCATAGATTGCTTCCATGCGAAAAGCGGTTCACGTAAAGTATAAAAAGCGACCTTTAAAGGGATCCAAACAGCACCACGTTCTAAAATTTGAACAAAAACACGAAAGTACGAATAGCTAAGTACCAGGCGTCCTATTGTATTAGTTTTCGCGCACATAACAAGTGGTATGCCAGCAGAACTAAAGCGAAAGCTTGAAGAAAAATGACAGAAACTGAGAGAATTAAAAACGTACAAGTCCAAAAAACTCCTTAAACATTTGAAAAGAAGCAAAAACGTGATAGCGCCGAATATGACTTCACAAAACAGCTGTCTCAGTAGTAAGCAGTCGGGCCAGGAGTATGAAATGTATCAGATAGCCAACAAAGGAAATTGGACTACAAAGCCCCAAGGACATATTTGATTAGGAAAATAATGGTAAAACAGAAACCTTAAAAAAGCAGGGTAAATAGGGTTGGAAGCAACTTTTGGAAAATTTTGAACGAAAGGAATCTCAAAGAGAAGCATCGAGAGGCGAATACAAAAGCGATTAACCAAAGGTAGTAAGAAATAAGGAGGTACTTACTAGGCCAAAGCAGAATAACTACCACTCTAAAACGCAGACTGTAAATAAATTCACTTCTTTTGCCTTAGATTGGACAAGTACAGTATCCATTTTAACCCATTTCATGGAATTCGTTTCCCTTGAACCTGACACCGCTTAGAATTATCCCAACCACTCACTAAACAACTAAAATGAGATTCATTGCACAGAAAATAGAAACAAACAGAATATTACAAAAAAATTGCACTCTGTGGCAGCCTAAACCCGTTTTCTTATTGAAAAACTAATAGTTTGACATAAATCTACAGAACACTAGAACATCATATCTCATCACAATAACTCGCAAAAATTTACCTTTATCTCCTTTAATTCATTTGTATTCTTTTCCCTTGCCTTCTGTTACGTTGACCTTACCCCCTCCCTTCAGCCCCTCTACACTATCCTGCTACAGGCACTATATCATGCCACTTGACACATGGCACACATACTACCCCACTTTTCCGCTGCACACTGCACCCCATTCCTCATCTGCCAACCTGTTGGCAACTGCACCATCAATAAATCACAAAATAAACAACAAGCGAAAATTGAGCAGTCAATCAATTAATCTCATAAGCTGACACCCATCTCAGTATCCGATCTTTATCAGTCAGTAAATAGGTAACACACAAAGCGCATCTACCATCCATCAACGATAGTCGATTACTGGTAATGGACCACTGATCATCAATCATCCACCAGTTACTTATCTTTTTCAACTTTGGATTCACAAAAGGCGTGATGTGATATGATGGCATGCGAAGTAAAGTGCAATGAAGTTAAGTAAATTAAAGTGATGTGTTATTATGAGAGGAGACAAGATATGATGCAATCTATCCCCATTTTATTCGCACACCGTAAACCATACAACACACTCACGCTCCAATACACTCACATATCCGCACATTCACAAACACACACGCACGTGCCCCCTCTCCGGTTGTCTCAGTGTCTTGCCAACTCCCTCCCTCAATCGGAGTCTTCCGACATTGTCAGTAGCCCGCCTTTTTACCACCCACTGCGACGGTAGTGACTAGGCAAGGCGAGACGCCGCATTCCAATGTATTGCACTACTTCATGTCCCTAACTCTCTCATCCATTTTATTGACTTCCCACCCTCACCTCATCCACTTTCCTTTTTACCCATTTATTTGGATTTTTCTTCCTTCTTGTTAACCTTTTACTGCTTTTCCCAAACGTTTTTGAACTCTTTTTTCCATTTTGATTATTTTTTCTCCATTTGTATATATATGATTGCGACCATTCTTATCAACCTTTCCCAGTGGGAGACACAGTAATGGCAGATGTTGGGGTTCTTTGGATGTTTTATTTTCAATTGCTGTTAGTTTGATACCGATTTGTCCAATTAATCTTGTGAGCGGTAGCGCAAAATGGCACTCACTAAAAGCATTTAGCAATTAGAGGTCATTAATTAACTCCATCTATTTAGCTCTTTTTTATCGCTTGCAATTCTGACCCATCACACTCATCATCACCCAATTTTACTGTACCCTCGGAAAATTTTTTTATGACACCTGCTAAAGAAGTTCAGACACCACCGAACGAGAATTATTCCAATTATTCACTTAACTTCGCACACACTTTAAGTGGACTTCTCTTCGGGGTTTTTTACTTGGTTCCATTTTAATCCGCGCATGCTGTTTCGGGTAGCATCCCGCCAATTCTTCTCTTCATTTGCAAAAAGGGTTTTATCTAAGTTTGTAAGTCCGGGAGAGAATTGGGCTAATCCGCTCTTTTCTACATCCACTTTCCTTATTTACTAACCGGTCGTCACTTGTGTTCAAAAATTTTTGACAAGAGCAAAACATTTACTGAAAATTAGTTAGTAGGCACTTTTTCATCCTTTAATTTAGCAATGACCTTGAAATCCTGCTCTAAGAGAATAAAAGCGACTTGGCTAACATTCACTATCAGATGGTTAGAAAATTTAAAGCGGTCATCTGTGAAGCTCAACGGCCTTACTGATGGACATATGACAACCGCCATGTAGAAGCTTTTCGAAGCATGGAAACGTGCCTGTCTACAGCAGCTCGGTGATCATTCGTTGGCAACCACAACATTTGTGTCAGTTTATCGTCATCACTTGAAGAAAGTGACAGAAGTTAAAGCGTACTCCAGAAATAGGGTGCCCTACTTTTAGGAAGGATATTCGAGTATTGATTGAGGAGAATTGAGGGCCGCTACTGACGTATTAATTCAGATAGGGAAGATTCCCTAATGCCACTCTCTTGTTCCCCTCCCCACCCACCCACCCACCCACTTCCCACCGAAAACGAAGGGCTGCCAATCTTGGAAATATAACTCATTTGTACTGTCAATAAGGGATTCTAAAGTAAATGAAGGTAGGCAATTTTGACCTGTCGCAAGTGATAATGTGTACATAGGTGATGCAAATATTTAATGAGTGGGCGAGGAGGTTGCACTAGAGGGGAAGCAGACTGGAGAAAGCACCTGAGGGGAAAGACCTGAGAGTAATGAACACACGTCAACAGTAATACGCATTGTTTACACGAGAGTGAACTTCTCCAGTTTATTTTGTCCCACCTGGATCATTGTCTTGTAGGGCTCCCAGTGTGCGGGATCCGAATTGGACGACACTACTACTACGGTGGACTGCGGTGATCCACTGGTGTCACCTTCCTCCTCCTCGTCTACAGGCTCCGCCGGGGTTAGTGGACTGCCTCCACCCTTCTCATCCCTCCACTCCATATTGTTTTCCGTTCCCACCTCCCCTTCTGTCGCCTTTGAAGTAAGCGGTTTTGATCCACGCACGTAGAGACGTGTTCGTGTCCCCAACGAAGAGCATATGGATCCCCCAGCCTCCGTATCGGAAACTGAAAATGCTGTTGCTGTTGTCACCGGTGTCGGTAATGATTTCATCTCTCCCATAGTCACGGTACATACATGAGACAACAACGCCATGGGTGGTGGTGGCAAGGGACAAGAGAAATTAGATCCAGACTGCTGATCGAAGGAGGAACGTCGCTGATAGCTTCCAGTTGGAGACCACTTAATGCAGGAAGAGGGTTTGTTTGTGGGGGGCTGTTGTTGTTGTGATTGTGGTTGCGGTTGTGTCTGTGGTTGAGGCTGGTCTTTATCATCCACGTTGATATCCGTTGCTCCGCTAAGACTTCCACCCTTTCCACTACTCCACTCCGAGCCAGAACTTGGTCCACGTCCAGAATCTCGATCTTCAATCTCATAAACCGCGGGAATCGATGTGAAGGAGGTCTTGACGGCTGTCGTGCAGGGAGTATGAAGGCTTAACTGTGGAGAGGGATAGATACTACGAGCTGAAACTGGTTCCAAGAACGTGTCGCAAATCGTGGAATTCGCACTCATCTGACCTCCAGAAGTGGCCTGACTCACATCTGCAGAGACTGTCATGAAAGCGCTGTTTTCGGCCATCTTCATAGAGTAGTCATGTGAACCTGTGTGTCGAGGAGTGATATGTGAAAGTCGTGGTGTATTATCAGGGCAGACAAAAGAGCATATAATGCGCGGAATAAATCCTATTGGACTCGTTCCAGACGCGTGATCTGCACACCACTTCTGCGCCAAGAACCATCCCGTAGTGGGTGACGTTTTGTCCGGATTTGTACCTGGGTAAGGAATAATTCTTAACAGATCGCCTCGATGCACACTGATAACCTTGTACTTTTCAATCCACTCCAGCGTAGGAAAGAAGTCTTCCACCGCTCTGGCAATAGTCTGTACAAAGGGCGGGTCTTTTGAAGAACTCCTAGCCGACATGGGTCGTGGAAATGAACCGGCAGTCAGATTAAGGGTCTGTGGACGATTGTAATGGTGAGTGGAAGGATATCTTGGCATGACTTGTGGAGTTACAGTTGGTGTAAGTACAAGGGATTGATGATGATGATGATGGGGTGTTCGTTTCAACTGCGGGGTAGACTGAATTGCTGTGGCATTCCGCAGACTTCCACCAGCCTTCATCTTCCAACATAGATCAAATTCATTGTCTTCCTCACTCGACGAACTACTGGATGACGAATCACTGGACGTCGAAGGAGTACCTGACGAGAATGCAGCGTTTTCTCGCCGATGTCGGCGCGACGACTGCTTTTTTCGTCTATGACGGGCGGACATTGTGGAAGATCGGGATAATTCAAAACTAGAGGAGGAGTCAGAACTAGAAGGACTGCTTCGCGGACGATGAGAAGTTGATGTGGACGCTCGTTTACCTCGATCGCTGTCCGTTCGCCCTTTCCCTTCCTTCCTCACTTCTTCAGTACCTTCATCATTATCTGTGCTGTCGCTAAGATCGTCCTCATCCCCTGTGGACAGCGACAGCCACTGGTTCTCAGCTGATGCCTGCGCGATCATTGAGAGAGCTAAACTGTCCACTGGATGCTTGGGTTTAACGCAGCGTCTAGTGGTTGCAGAGGTTGTGGGTGGAGAGGGACTGGCAGAAGCTTGCCACACTTGAGTTGGTTTGATGGATTCAAATGTCACCATCGCTGAACAGGAGCGTCGAGATGAGGTACTCCTAGTTCGAATAGACCCCCCAAATTTTAGATCCTCACCGAGGATTAACACAGAGGCCTCCTTTCCGCGGCGAAATTTGCGCTGATTTCGATAGTCAGGAGTGGTCGACTTTGTCTCCACCTCCAGTGCATCCCATCTTGTGTCCTGTGAGGTCTCGGGGCGTTGGCCACGTTGATGCGACTTCTTCAACTTGGACTTTTTTGACAGCACGTGTAACATTGGCCTACAAAACCAACACGCCAACACTTATTATTGTGACCGCTTATAAGCAGCATGCTTAACCTGTCAAAATGGGATAAAACTACTCTGGGTGTGTTTTTAACCTTCCCCTTAAGGCACCGTAATTAAGTCTTAACGCCTACAACCAATAAAATCGCCGTTTATTTGCTCAAGCCTAGACTAGTGCCCATGAATCTTGAAGTTCTTTGTTGCCTTTGCGAGTTTTTTTCACCTAAGCTACTGCACCGTAACTTAGAGACGGGGGGAGTAAAAAAGTGCCTCATCAATTGACACTACTACGGATGAGGTGACTTCCACACTTCTATCCTGAACAACGTCTGGTGAGTAGTAAGCACGCTGCGCGTTCAAATCGAATCGGAGAACAAAGGTAGTCTGCCATGGTGGAGTCTCACACGCTATTGATTGGCAGGTGGGTCCCATTGTTCACCAGTAGTCGGTCCAGTCCAATCCAGTCGAGTCCAGTGTGGCCAATGTCCATCAACATGGAAGGGCGTGTAGCAATGAATGAACGCTGTAAGCGTGGTTACCCTATCGTACCTATGGTGGAGGTGGGGATGCTAGTCTGCTACCAATGTGCAGTAAAACATCGAACATGAAAGCAGTCGCCTACTGGATGGCGATCCTTGGTGGTGGTGGTGGTGGTGGTGGTGGTGGTGGTGGTGGTGGTGGTGGTGGTGGTGGTGGTGGTGGTGGTGGTG